GTAATTCATCTATTGATTTATCTAAAAATACACAAATCAAAACATTTTCTTGTTATGATTGTGAACTTTTAAATAAAACCAAAAAATAGTAAAAAAGGCAAAAAAACTTTTAGAAAAAAATAAAACACTTACAATGAGCCAATTTGAAAATATTAAAGAAATGTTTAAAGAGAATAAAAATGATTTAATAGAATATTTGAAAGTAATAAGTATACTACATATCAACCATATTTTCCTGAATCACGAAACAAATAACAAAAGTTTAAATTTACAAAAAGATTTAGTGATTTATCAGGTAAAATTAAATATTAGAAATAATTTTTTAAAAAAATTGATTTTATTAGAAGATTAATAAATTTATTTAAATATAAATTTACTTTTTAAGAATTAAAAATGTTGTTTAAAGGCATACTTAGATTTAAAATAAGTGATGGTAAATATTTTTAAAACAATTTTTACTATCAAAATTAATAAGATGATTAATAATAAAAGAGATTTTAAATCAAACAATATTAAAAACTTAGAAACTAAAGAAATGAACAGTGAAGTCACAGCAGAGATCTCAGAGGATTTTATAAGTAACAGAAAATACAACAATAAATGTTTTAAAAACTTTTATTGAATAAAAATTTAAATAATTGATTGTTTTTTTAATTTTACATGTTTTTATAAATTTGATAATAATTTTATCCTACAAATATATTAATTATACTTATTATGGTATAGTTCCCATATGAAATATTTTTATTTGAAATTTATTTTTTGATGAAGATTTTTTAGTTTCTATTTTTAACCCTTAATTTCAGAGATGAGAGATACAGATAAAGATTTAACAAGAAATAAATTTATTAACAAAAGCTTTCAAGGCAATTTGAATTCAAAGCCATGTTACGGAAGCAATAATAAAGATCAGAAAGAGATAAATAAACAGATGAGTGATTTAATACAGATGATGCAGTCGGAAAGTTTTTCTTTCAAACCGGCCGGAGAGAAAAGTGGACCAGCTGTAAAAATAAATAAGCTAATGATAAATGATTCTACCGATTTTAGAAGTTGGGTAGAACGTTATAGGAAAATGATAAAATTGACAGGTATGAAAGAAGAAGAAGTTGTTGACTATTTAGAGTTTGTGGTAGATGAGACCATAGCTAGAAGTATTCAAGGTATTAAGAATTTAGAATGTGCATTAGACACTATTTTAAAACTCAAGTATAATGATGGA